CTGTACTTATGTAAATGCGAATGGACATAAAAAGTATCATATGTATGTATGCCATATATATGGCAATAAGTGTCTAAAATTGATTGTCTGTCAGGCCTTTTAATAAATTCTACCCTAGTTGCTACCCCTTATGGGAGTCACGAAAGTATATATTTAATTAAGCTCAATAACATATAAAGACCTAACTAGTTTCTAAGTAGTCACAAACTGGTGCAGTAACGAGAGTTTAGAAAATCATTAAATTTATTATAAACGACTCGTAAATTTACAAAACACGACTGGTCGTTTTATAACTAGTCAGTAACTAGTTGCTTATAAATGGATTGTGGAACTAGCTACTTAATTTTTGCTTTAATGTCAAAGGAAAAACATCGGTAAATAAAAATTGCAAAAATTTTCACAAATTTATTGCTGCTCACAGTGATGGTGGAACAGAAAAGACCAATAGGATACTTCCCCAGTATATATGTATGTACTTACATATGTATTCATGTTGTAATTTATTTTTCTAATTATGTATCCGCATATAAAAACATATATATATATGCTTGCTGTAAATGTTTGTATGTCACGCCATCAAAATTAATTTCTCCGCACAAAAATATCTGACGCTCTCTTCTACACACACATCGCCACATCGCTACCACTCATACGCATTTTACAAAAAAGAAAAACAAAACAAAAAAAAAAAAAAATAGTTGACTCAAATGTGGACAAATGTGCGTATGTTTTATGTAAAACCCAAAGTCTGTACATCTGTATGTATGTAATTACTTATATATCGACAAAAAAATATTTAATGGAAAAAAAATTGCAGCGTTCTTTTTACAAAAACAACAAAAAAAAATCCTCAAATAATTTTATGCTTTTTATTTTTGCTCGCTATGCATTAGCTGCTACTGGTGTTGTTGTAGCTGTTGCTGTTGCTGTTGCTGCACGCTCAGTGCGTTCACTCTAACGCACAGTCGCTGCTTAGCATGTTGTACGTACCTACATACATATGTACATATATCTGTATGTACAAATTCTCCTGTGTTTTGCGCGTGTGCGTTCAGCTAGTTTTGTATGTACATATATATACATGTATGTATGTGTGCTTGTGCATACAACTAATTTGTTGCTTTTATTGTTTAGAATAATCTTGCGCTTGATAATGAAAATAGGTCAAATTTTAAAAATACTTCACAGCGCAACAACAAAATGCGCTAACGCAACGTTGACTTATAAACGAGCATACACAAATATACATACATATCAATGCGTGTGTGGTGTTATGTGTGTTTACGGTATGGTTCTTTGCGTTAATAGACAACTTTACGAGTGGATATCTATACACATACATACACGTACATAGATACGTATGTATATAAACAGACGGAAATTATCATATGTATAAATAATATTTATATGCATATGAATATACCATAACATATATGTATGAATATAATGCCGTCTAAAGTCACACATAATTATATTTTATTAGATAAAATTAGTCTGGTGTGGGCATATATATTTATGACATACATACATACATATGCACATATGTATATATATTTACACATACATATATGTATGTATATATTAAAAAAGGCCAAAAAAAAACATTATCTACTTCAATAAACTGCTCAATTAGTGTATTTATTTCATATTTATTCTTAATAAGGTGGCAACTCCGTTAAAAAATATTTTTTAATTGTAACCTTTGCAAAAAAATGTTGCTTAAAATACGAATTTTAACTTTTTCTTGACTAAACATTTTAATCAAAATAATTGAATTTAGGTGGCAACCCTAGCTAAATTTTAGCCGAACTAAAAACATTAGAAAATAGTTTAATTTGGTAACCATATTCAAAATTTTACTTTTTCATAAATACTCATTATTTTTATCTCGTTTAATATCTAAACAGGTGGCAACCTTACTTTAAAAAATAGCCGAAGGAATTTTCTCGTAAACACTTTTCGTTTGATACCCATCCATTATGCTTTTTTTGATAAACAAAATTTAATATCAAAGCAAAAATGGTAACCCTATTAAAAAGTGTTGCAGAAGAATTCTGCAGTATAAATGTTTCTTATTTGAAGTTATTTAAAAAGAAAAAAATTCTTCGGATATACATACTAGTATATGCATTTTCTTTCGACGGTTAATTTATATTTCATATTAACTTTTAGTTAGTTATATGGTAGCAACCCTAAACAAGAAGGTACTAATTTCGAGAGATTTGACAACCTTAGCTAAATTATAACAGTGCAAAGCTCTCACAAAAAAAAATTATATAAATTATATTTCATTTCTGTATTCCTGATTTTAGTTCCCCACATAGATTGCTGTTTTTTTAATGTCTAAAACTTGGCAACCCCAAATCAAAATTGTATTTTATATAAAACGTCGTCATAAGCTTGTTTTTTGGGAGTAATATCGTGGTTGTTATGTTGTTTCTTAATATTTTTTAATTTACGAAAATTTGGTAACCCTAGTAAAAATTATGATTTGTATCGGCAACCAAAAAAATTTAGTATTAGATAAGTTGATTCTCGAAAAATTTCTCAAACACTGTTCTATCTTGCTATATTAGTTTATCAGCTTATTGTTTTATGAATTTTCAAAGTGGGGGCAACCCTGTATAAAAACATGTCTTAGTTGAAGATTTTAAGATATTATTTCTGCCTAAAAGATTTCTTAAAAAAAACATCCGCATTTTATTAAGTAATTAATTAAATACTAAAATCCCATAAATAAGGCAGGAAAAAGCTTCTAAAGCCTTAAAGAGTGAATTTTCATAAAATTTCTATTAAATTTCATTGAGCTTTGTATAAGCTTTCTTAGCTTCTCCCCATTCTTCTAGAAATTTGTAACTTTTATATTACTTTCAGAGTTTGGGATGAATAAAAAGCTATATAGGTATGTATAAGCTTAAGTTTTATATATTAAAATAATTATAACTATTTATTATGAAAAATTTTTTTTCCGTAATAAAACTCGTACACAGGTAAGGTAAAGCTTCAAAAGTATATTGCTTATTCATAAAAAAAAAAGAATTTCTGAAAATTGTATGAGCTTTTAAAAGCTCATGTGTCTCATAGGCGGAATATTCCCGAAATTCTCATAAAATAATTTTTTTAACTCCCATTGCTGATTTTCTCTTGCTTGCCCAATCAATTAACGCAAATGAGTAAAAGAAGCTTTCATCAAACACTCAAAGCTTTTAAGACTAAACTAAAGAGCTTTGGGTAAGAGGAGGGTTTTTGCTGAAAAGCACTGCATTACAAGTTTAAAATTTTAGCTTTTTATGCAGAAATGAGTATTATCATAATAATATTTTTTTTTTTGCATTTTAACAAGTGACATAAAAATAATATTAAAAAAATAAATAAATATTATATAAAATCTTAATACAATATATATGTAGGAGTATATATAAAATTTAAACGTATGTATGTCAATAAAATTTGTTTATTGTAATGTTGATTTTATTTTTCAATTTACCTATTGACGTCATAATTTTGTTGTGAAATTTTGACAATTTTGCCGAATGTTTTCGAACTTTTTACAGGCCAATTTTGCAGTCACTGTTTTACTTCAATTCACTTGGCATTATTTTTGTTATACGTGTATGTGTGTGCATAATTTCTAGTGCCAATGTTTTTTTTTTTTGGTGCAATAATTTGAATTTTTTCAATTTTTCAAATCATTTTTTTTAATTTTAATTTAATATTTTTATTTAAAATTTTGTTATTGTTTTTTTTTTTTCTTTTATTAGAGTATAGTCATTTTTTCGCTCTTGTTGTGCTAAAAGTTTGTACTCTCTTGGTCTAAATTTAGGAATGAAAAATATTACATAAAATGTAATTTCGAACACTTTTCGAAAAAGGTTGGAATATTTAAAATGCCAAAATCTTAAAATTCGATAAAAATAAAACTTTATTTAAACAAATAAAGATATTATTTAATTTTTAAAATTTTGTTTTGGTTTTTGTGTTTTGTTGTTGTAAAAAGCCAATTTTGTTGGTGGTTTCGATTTGGTGGGTTTTAAATATACGTTTGCTAAGCTTTGCAAACCAATTTATTTCAGTAAGTCGAGTTACTAATTTTGTAAAAGAAAAATGTTTTTTTAAGGTCAAAAATATACGGGTTTTTGTTGTAAAATGTGAATTTTGATTGTTCTTTGTTTTTGCCAATTTTTTATATTTTTTATAATTTTGAGTTCAAATCATTTTTTTTACATTAAAAAAATTGTTTTTGTGTTGCCAAATGTCAAATTTTCGTTGCTTTATTTGATTTCCTTTGCCAATTCGGTTTCACTGATATGTTTTTGTAATTTTTTGTTTTCAAAATTTTAGAAAATTGAAAAAAATATTATTATATTTTAAAAATTTCCTGAATGATATGTTTTCCATATTGGATTTTGTCACTCTTTTTGTGGGGTCTGAGATGATTTGGAATAGCCGATTTTGTAAATTAAAAAAATGGTTTTGTATTGAAATTTTTTTATTTTTTATTTAATTTTTTAAATGTCTTTTCGTTAGCTTTTTAATGGTTTTCCAAACATATTAATGCCAATTATTTGTTTTTTTTTTTGCTTTATTTTCAAAATTTTTGAAATCAATACTTTGTTTTGATTTTGAAAGTCGTTTTATTTTTGAATGCCGATTTCTCCTTTTTTGTTGTAATTTTTGTTTAATTTTTCTAAAGTTTTTTCAAATTTGGAAACTGTTTTTTTTTTGCCATTGAAGTCCGTCTCTTTTAGGTTTAGCAAATTTTTTCTAATGAATTAAAAGTTTTATAATTAATTTTTTATTTATTTAAAAATTATTTAAAATTGAAATGATAAGAATTAAAAAAGAAAATTAATAACAAAAAAATTATATAAAATAACTGTTTGTCTGGTAGTGTAAAGTTCTAGTTTTTTTTGCCAATCGCTGTACCGTAAAGTCTGCTGCACCTTAAAAGGGATATATAAAATATTCTGAAAATTATCGGCTAGCAATGTTATACTAACGGCATATCGGCATGCGCGACTTTTTGCGATAGTAACAATTGTAGTTGTTGTAGTGAATATTATTGTTGTTGTTGCATTTACTACATTTCGAATCATTTTCCTCACTTGTTGTTGTTGGCGTTATGGTTGTAGGCATTTTATGCAAGAAACCACACGCCGCCGACGTGGACGTGGACGTGGAGGCGGACGGTGACGATCCGCCGCCACTGCCTTCAGCACCACCATTGAATGTTGCCTGCTCAGCGGCGGCGGCACGAGGCGATAGGTGTTGTTCACACTGCGTCGAATCCTTGGCGCTACAGTTGATCGGCAGCTCAGCGGCACAAGATGAGCTAGTATCATTTGGTGTAGCCGGCGCGCTGTCATGTCCATGTCCAGGTCCCGGTCCATTACTACTGCTGCTACCATTGCTGCCGCTGCCGTGTGTATTGTAGCTGCTGCTGCTACTGCTGCAGCGCTTTAACAGCGTCTTATTTAGCGGTGTCTTTATGATGGTGGCTGTGTGTAGGTGTTCAAACTCGCCACCCGCTTCATCGGCATCACCACCACACTCTCTTCTGTCATTCAAATGCGTCCTAATTGACGCTGCCTCTGCATCCTTGGCACGTGTGTGCTGCCTGACCGCTGGAGGTGAGTCGCTGCGACTTTCATGTTTCGAAAAGCCACTGCCACTGCCACTGTCGCTGCCGCTGCCACCGCCACCGCCACCACTATTGCTATTGCTGTTGTGCACCGCTGATTTTTCGCCATTTACACGATGGTGTTGTTGCTGTTGCTGTTGTTGTTGTTCGTCGTTCTCACGGTATTGTCCATTCTGTTTGGCTTCATAGGCAGTGCTTTTATTGCTATTGTTGTTGTTATTGCTGCTGCTCTCATCATTCGCTTCGGTTCTGACACCAGCTGCGCCTCCACCTCCTCCTACTCCTCCTCCTCCTCCGGCTGCGGCTACACTCTTCAGGTGTTTGGCGATTTTTTCGTGTTTCCCCAAAATGCTTAGATTCATGGAGTCGTCTGCAACATCAATGTTGCTATTGTCATTGCTATTGTTAGTTGTATTGCCGGTTGTTGTTGTTGTTGTTGTTTTTGTTGTCGTTGGTGTTGCTCTCACTGTCACTTCCGCTGCCAATTGATTGGCATTCATTTGGAGTTGTGTTTGTTTAGGGGTTCTTTAATTGTTTTATGTTTGGAAAAGTTGAAAATTAAAAATGTTGCCTACGTTGTGCAACATGTTGCTAGGTGTTGTTATTTGCTGTTTCAGTCGCCATTTTTCAAGTGGGATAACACAGCAATGTGGAGTACATTTTGAGAGATTTACGGTTGCTTATTGGGATTTGGTTGGATTTGGATTGAGAACTTAGTTTGTTAGAGAGTTTTGAAAATGATTTAAAATTTTCTGTTGAATTTTCAAGTTTAATTTTTATTTCAATGTAATTTTCAAAATTATTCCCGTATTTGGTGTAATTTTTTATAACTTTCTCTTGTTTTTATTTTTTTTTATATGTTTTTTGTCGTATTCTCCTCTTATTTTTAATGCTATTTTTCTACACTTTCGATCTTAGTATTTTTCGCACTTAAAGCTTTAAAGCTTTAGTTTTTCTAAGGCAGTTTTGGTCAGTCTTTATAGGTTTTAATATATATTTGCGCTGAATGCTAAGTTATTTTGCTTTCAGCTGTTACGTAATAGTTTTAAAACTGCTTGCTAAAGGGTTGGAAAATATTATACTTTTGTTTTATTGAAATATTAAAAATTTTAATTATTTTAATTTCAAATTTTTCTTACCAAAAAGACTTTTATTTAATGTAACCAATTTTTTTCCTAAATCTTTTCATATTGGTTTAAAAAAAAATAATAATAAAAAATCTACCATAAAAATTATTGAATTAATTTTGTTTTGAGATCTGATTTATTTATTTTTTTTTTTCGGTAAGTTTTGAAAAATATTATTCTAGGATTTTTCAAATTAATAAAAAGTAAATATTCTTATCTCCCTAAGCTGTTGTCAATTTTCATGAAATATTTCTATAGGCAAATCTTAAGGTATTTCGAGGAATCGAAAGCAAGTTTTTCATATTTAGGTATTTTAAAGCTTATAATGACTTGAAAACAATTTTTTTTTAATATAATATGTTGAATAAAAGATTTTTGAAGTGTTGAAAAAAATATTTTTACATTTTTTGAATAAACAATTTTGAAAAATATTTGAGTTTTTTTGTATTTCAATCAACTTTTATCGATTTTCAAAAACCACTTAAAAAATCAAGCCTCTTTTTTAAATAATTTAGAGGAAATGCAAAATGAGTTTTTTCAATTTTTCTTTTTAATGTAATTAAAAATTTGTACAATCTATTTATTTTTTTTTTCAATTTCAGAAAGAAATATTCGAAATATATATTAACATATTATGAGGAATGAAAAGTTATATTTCTGTATTCAAAAATTTATATGTTGCAATTTCAAATATTAAATTTATTTATGTATAAGCGATTTTGAATTTTTTTTTACTTCAACAATTTTTTAATTCCCATAAGAAATTTGAAACATTTATTTAAAGGCCAAAGAAAATTATAAGATTGAATATTGTTATATTTTTATCAATTTTACTATTTTTTGAAGAAAAAAATGGAAAATGATTTTTTTTTTTAAGTTTTAACAATTTTTATAATTATTAATTAAATATATTGATTTGTGAAATCATTTGCAGAAATTATAAGTTTTTTTTGTATTTGAAAATTGTAATTGCAAAAACAAATTTTTGAAATGTCAAAAATTTCCAAATGAAAAAAATAAAAATTTAGAATAAAATCAAGTTCACAAAAAAGTTTCAACATTCAATTATTATATTTTACATAGCTGGCTTTCCGCGGATTTGATTAACATTTAACATTATTTTTTTTTATGTTTTAATTAAAAAATATTAAAAACGTTTTAATGTATTTTTTTTTAAGTGGATGCCTAGAATTTGGAACTTTGAATTTCTAAAAAAAAACTTAAAATTTTACAACTATTTCCTGTTTAACTAAAAAAGGAAATAATCTATTAATTAAACAATTAAAAAAGTGGGTAAAATGGAATAATTTATTTACAACAGATGATTTTCTTATTTTTATGGATGAAAAAAAAAAAAATAAAGAAAAAAAGTTAGAGAGAAATTTATTTACGGCTAAAATCTTGCTTTTCTATCTTCAGTAAATTATTTTGAAAATTTTCCAATTATCTTTTCTATGAAACTTTCTTTACGCAACTAAAATAATGAAAGAGACTCACTTAACCTCAGCGAAATAATTTGAATTTTAATTTGAAAGTTCTTAAATTTCTTCTGTTTTGAAATTTATGAAGAAAAACTTTTAAAATGGTTTCAGTACGCCACAAATATTTATTTTATTCTTCTATATCAGCTTCACTCTAAGAAAACGTTTTCACTCATTCTAAATGTAATTTCATAGCAGACGCTTTTCAAAACTTGCCATTCCGAAAACATATCCAAATGTTGAACTCCGATTTATACATTATTTCCTTTCAAGTGCTTGGATTTGGGTATTTGCTGTTACTTAGTACTCACAAAGAGAGAGAATACTCACTTTAACATAGCCTCCTTTCTCTTTCTCTCTAACTATTACTCCTCACTGCAGTTTTAAAAGACAATGAGCTTTCGCTCTTTAAATCTTTCACATTTGCACTCTTACACTCTTGACGCGAACAGCGAAGTTTTTATGCAGCATATAATTCTCAGCCATTTTATAGTTATGCTTATGAATTATACTTTACAAAAATTTGTTTTGAGTTTTGTCAATTTTATTTGAAAGTTTTTAATTTATGAAGCAACTTTTTTTATTTTCCCAGAAAATGCTTTCACTTGGTGAGTTTTCATAAATTGTTTTAAGCACAAAAATCATTACAAAGTCACTGTAATTATTTATATTCCCCTTTGAATAAATATTTTTTTTTTTTTCAAAGAAAATTGCACTTATTCTTTTTAGCTTATAAAATGCATTTTATGTTAAATTTTTTTATTACGTTTTTTCAGTCTTTCACTCTTCATATAAAGATCTTCATAAGTTTATATATGTATATATTTTTTTTTTTTACAAAAATGCAAAATTTCATTAACGGTTCAGTTTTTTGACATTCATAAATGCTTTTGAGTTCAGATTGCCTCAAACTTCGTCACATTCAAAGAGAGCGTACGAAAACACGTTCCTCGCACAAAACACTGGCAACATTCTTGTCGGCGCTCTATAAAGTAATCGCGTCTTTGGCAAAAGCTCTAAAGTAACGTTATTCTCGAAAATTCCAGCAGTCGGTTGACGCTTTCCGTGTTTTTGCAAGAAAAATGCTTTATAAAAAATGCAGTCTTGTTACTTCCCTCTATTACATATGTAAACTCTCTTTCTTAGCACAAAGGGGCGTAGGACGGATTCAGAAACGGGTGTTGGGTTTTTTTTATTATTATTATTAATTTTTTTTTAAATTAATTTATGCGCACTGCCATACATTTTTTTTAGCGCTTTCGAAGGAAATTTTACACAAATTTAATTTTTTTCACCGACTTTTGTTAGAAAAGTTTTTTTTAAAATAGTTTTTTTTTAATTTATTATATTTAAACATTTACATTGCTGTAGAAATCTATCCTGTAAGGCATTTATCTATATTTCACTTTCAAATACTTTTTATGTTCGGAATTTCGATTTTTTCTAAAAAATTTAAGCAACTAAAATAAAATTAGCATAAAACAAAAATGAAGTAAAATAATATAAAATAAAAAAAATTTAAAAAAATTAATAAAATAAAATCTAACAAATTGACAATTAAATAATTAAAATAAAATAAAATAAAATAAAATAAAATAAAATAAAATAAAATAAAATAAAATAAAATAAAATAAAATAAAATAAAATAAAATAAAATAAATTTATTTAAAATAAAATAAAAGAAAATAACTTAGAATAAAATAACATAAGATAATACAAGTTATAATTAATTATAATAGATTTAGTAATCATTTAATTCTCGTTCTTTCGCTCTCACTCTGTCGAGTTCAATGACTCACGACAAACGATTAATAACAAAACCCAAAATGCAGCAATCAAATTATGCAATTCCAAAATTCCAAACATATGAACAATTTTGTATTTGCGGTATTGTAGCGTTTATACACGTATGTAGCTATATATACATTTATTTTTATGTATGTCGTTTGAAGTTTTTAACAGCAATTGCTATTGCCGCAGCACATACCGCAGCAACAGAATTAAATAAAAAAAGTCCACAAACACACAAACACACAAACACGAAACAACAATATAACTGATGCAACATACGTAGGTGTTGTTGTTGTTATCGCTGTTTTGTTGGCTAAGAAAAAAAAAACACAAATAAATAATTGTTGATTGTTGTTTATCGTTGACCGCATAGAATAGCGTAGAAGCGCAGCGAAAAAAATAAATAAATAAACACAAATGCACAAAGTTATAACATCATTTGTGTGCGTGTGTGTGTGCGTATGTGTGATTCTGCACAAACGCACGTCAATAAATGAATTTAACACTTTTATGGAATATTGTTTGGTTTTATGCTGAGCGGAGATAGATGAGAAACATAATTAACTATTTTTGATGGCAATATTTTGTTGTTATTGCATCATTTTAATTATAAAAAAAAATTAATTTAAAAATGATTTAAAAATTAATTTTTTAAAGGGCATTTTAAGCATTTTTTTGGTATTAAGATTTTTTTATTTTTGCGTACTTTATTATTGCACTTCACTTGACTGTTTATTTACGTATATATATGTAAATTTTGTTAAATTTATATTTTTATATTTTTTTTTTTGAATAATTTCATCTCTTCTTATTATTGTTTAATGTAAAAGATTTGGTAATTAGTTTTTTTATTGCATTGCTACGACACTGTCCGTAAGAACCTCCAAAACCACAATAATTGACAGCAACGAATCAAAAAAAAATTGATAAGGAGAAAGTGTTAATATATTTTAATTGCCGTATTTTCCATATGATTGCGTAATTGGAATAATTTTTTGAGCAACATTATTATAATTTTGATATTTTAATTTTTTTTTAATTAAATAATTAATATTTTATTTTACTTCAATTACTTATAAATCACATTTCTTTTATAAAATACAATTTAAATAACTCGTTATTGTTCAAAGTTATTATTTTTTAATAGTTTAAAAAATTTTATAAATGTCTTTGCAGTGAAACTATTACTTATTTCTTTAATTTATTTATTATATTTTGTGAAATAAATATTTTATTTTAATATAATTTTTTTATTTCAATGTAATTTTTATTTACAACTTTTTTTAAAAGCATTTAATTTTTTTCTTAATAATTCTTTAATAATTTATGGAAAATGTTTGTGTTAAAGTATTTATTTTTTATATCATTATTTTATAT